TGCCCCCGAAATGTAAGTGCGGTATAACTTGGTACTATCGTACCGCGATATACAAATTTTTCGTGGGTGTTAATACTTTCGCTAGTGGATCAAGTGAGTAATATGATGTCACTTAATGTCGGCACATGGCAATCTACTGAAACAGGTGCTAAACGTTTTCCCAGGTACAGTATCCCGTGGTTTAGTGAAATGCTTTATGCATAACAATAAATCAATTAGCCATTATTGAATAAGTCATCTTATACACGTATGTTTAAAAGTTACATATTATTTAAATTGAATCGTAAAGAAGAAAATTATTGTTTCATAAATTACATACAATACCTTACGAATTATGAAATAATTCGGAATGTACATACCCACTATTTAACTTTCTACCCCATAAGACGCAAAGTAAAAATGCACATCGAAACAACACATCCAAAGTATGCAAACGACCTCATAGACCTAAAACTGACACTTAATTAAACTATATTCCAATACTTTACATTAAACATGTGACACCACATGTCAATTCCATCCTGATGAGAACATTGGCAATTTTCTCGTTCATTTCTATATCCTAATGAAGAGTTTTGATTTAAGTACTCATAAACAACCTAAAGTTTGACAAAATTAAGTAGTCATAAAACTAATTATTTTTGACAACACTGAGTTGTTATGAAAACCCTAAACTTTTGTCAAATTCAGTTGTCATAAAACCTAAACTCTTACAAAACTGTGTAGCCATAAAAACCCTAAACGTTGACAAAAAAATGAAGAAGTCATAAAATGTTATTAACTTTGACAAAAAGACTGAGAACTCATAAAAACAATAAACTTTGACCAAAAACTGAATTGGTCATAAAATCCTAAACTTTGACAAAAAATGAGTAATTTAATCTCATTAAACTGAAACATTGCTACTTATTCTTAACATTCCTCCGGAAGAAACTGAAGACAGGAGACTGAAATATATTTTTGTATACTAAAGGCGTTGAACTCGTCATACGGACCTGTCGCTTTTCGTGATTCCCCACCATTTGTTTCCCCGCGAAGGTTTATCTGTAAGATGCTTATACGATGATAAAAATACACAGATATTTGGCCAGATCTGGCATATTGTTTCCAAGTCTCTACACACAGGAATATAACATTGTGTATTCTATTTTAAAACGGGCAAATCAGCATTAATACTACTATATTCCATATACTGATTTGTATCTATATTCCTTTGAGTGATTTATGTATAACTTATCGTTGTTCTTGGAGAAGACATGTCCTTTTTTTGGCTTGGATATTTTGTTGAAATTATCTCACTCATCTGTATACATGTCCTGTCCATATAAACTCGATGACAACAACTTCTTTTCAATGTATTCAGCTGCTTGATCTATATCTCGTGACATGTAAATAGGCAACTTACCACGGCAGACGACATTGGATCAGACCCTCTTTGTCTGACACTATTCGAATTCCGCATGAAAAATTGATTACAATAAATTTTTTAACATGACCAGTGGACTGTGCGGGTGTTAACATACGCCAATTTAATGGATATTGTGCTAAGTTATCACTGTAATAAGTCAAGCTGATGGTTGTACCAAATAATGCATGGTACTATTTGAGAAATATTAAATGTTGTATACATCTCTCTGGCAGACGTGTGTTAAAACATCGCCAATTGTTTTGTATTAAATATATATATATATATATATATATATATATATATATATATATATATATATATATATATATATATATATATATATATATATATTGTTCATCATAAAGATAAACAAGTCCCCACATGTCCTACAAAGTGAATGAAATTTTGAAGAAGACATAAATTTTTGACCACAAATGCATAATAAACCATTTGTCTCCAAAGCATTTCTTGCAAATGTTAAAATGTAATGGATCTACACATACACACAGACACACAATTACACCCCCAACACCCACACACCGAATCATTATTCCACAAGTCAATGACGGTTAGCCACCCCTACTGGTGTACGATCATGATGATATCATTTTAAAATATGTAGTTCTTGTAAAACACATTTTCCGGCTCTTTCGTGCCTTGTCACAGCCACCTCAAATCCGTGCCCATGGAGTAAAAAAAAAGCAAGGGTAAGACTAATTGAAGGTCCAAATTAATTGCCTATATGAATTCATCGTGTCATGTCATTAAAAATATATAAGTGTTTATAACATGAGATTCCCAACCGTTAAGCAAGGGGGTAATCACTGAAGATTAGGAGAGGGGCCAGGGGATGAAGTCAGTTGCATATTTTAACTTGTCCTCTCATGCGCAATGAAGGTAATATTGTTAGAAGACAAAAATCTCAGTAGTGTCTCATTTGTGAGTCAGTGACACGCGTTTGACTCGCAGACATGACCCAAGGGTCTCATTATAAACTCCCACCGGACATACGCTGACACTTGGATTGATAATCGCACGAAGCTTTTTTTTTTCGGGCACGTTGGTTTCATAATTTGGGAGTTTTGTGAAATTTAAGCAAAATAAACACTCGCTCCAAGCGCTGATTTAATCGCTTACAAACGCTGTACACATATTTAGACCACATTCAATCATCCATATTGCCCTGCTAGAATTATAAACTCTTTGTATAGATCTACGAACCAACCCAACCATATCTTAAGATATGTCTCGGTTTAGGAATTGTTAAGCACTCACGCATGCCCAGACTGCTCTTCATCGAGATGCCCTGCGAGCCAAAAGTTCCAGGAGACTATTACACCGCAGAATGTCAATGCAATTAAGTTACATACAGATATAAACTGACAAATTTATATGAATTTGGACGAAGTTCATGAACCTGTCGAAGATGCTTGATGGAGGGCTCACATTCCGTTGTCGAATGTCCTCATTTATTTTATGAATTACCTGACGGTTTATGGCAAGACATTTTAACGCGTTTTTAAATAATATTTTTTGTCATGTATGTAAAATAGTACGAAAATGTCTGGTTTAATTTCACATTCGATATATGTACATGTGTAAATGAATTTTTCACATTTGCAAATTAAATATTTTTTTAAAAAAATGTATTTAAAAACAGTGTTATTGAACCTTAGTTACATATTTAAAAAGAATTTAGGATATTTAAAGGGTTCTATTTTCCACACCTGTTCTTATCTGATAATCGGTCTCACATATACGAAATTCTTTCCCTTTTTTACACATATGAAATATTTTTTATCTTTTTCTATGGTAAAAACGAATCATGGATAGCAAAATATATAACGAATTAATAGGTTTTATTAACAAAATTATGAAAACACTACGAGAATAGAAATATATATTTTATCAAATTTACAGAAAAGAAGAATTTTATTATACTATACGTTCTTAGATATACTATGCCTGTGGGATCTGTTATAATAATGTATAGACCACAACTATGTATAAAAAGAATTAGAATATACCATGGGGAGAACAAAGTGCGGAGCCAAAGCTACGTGACTCACGTAGGGTAGCACGGACCGTACCAGTTTTCCCCACCTCAAAGTAGCGCTAAACAATCACATTGTCTTTAATATACCTACAATCTACTATACCTATCTTCTCCTAACACACATTAAAAACAAAAAGGTTCCAAGGATCGGGAAACCAGTATCGATCTTATATCACAACCGGTTTCCCGAATCAAAAAACCCTAATAAAATTAAAGAACAACTTTTAAAAATTTGATCCATGCAGCCAGCCATACAAAAACACGAAACAGCGTACATAACAAATAGCAGAAGCATATAGCAAACAATGGGCAACATAGATCCTTGGCAAGGATCACAGACTTTAAGTAAACTCCGGATCCAGCCTGGGATTAGGAGCCTTTTTCATACTAGAATAGGAATGGTGTGGAAACCCTAACTCAAAATTAAAAAAAAAATAAAAAATGAAATTTCTTAAAAATAATACAAATAGCACACACGCTTAAAAAAATACAATGACATACGAAACACTTTAAATTTTCGGAACTATGGGGTCCCTCAGATGATGAAAATTCTGAGAGGGACCTCGCCAATAAAAAAAAAAACGAATTATACATCGGCGAGAAATGAACGTCATGGATGTCACAAAATATGTTAAAAAAAACATGCACAATATACGTTTATTTTTTTACACAATCCAAAAAAAAATTGCTTCACAACTCTGAACTATATTTTCGCGTGTGTGAAATATTTATTTTTATATAATTAATTGTAAAAATAATTCTACAGGTATATAATTCTTTTCTGACATTATTACACATACACGAAAAAGAATTGCACATATGTGAAAAGATTTTTCACATATTTGATATAAGTTTTTTTATTTCACATGCGTAAAAAAAATTTCGTAAGAGGTGAAAAACAAATTAATACTTTTCATAAAACAAATAGTTCAAGCATATTTAAAAAAAATGTTTGCAAATGTAAAAAATCTTATTCTTATTTATAAAGAAACGAATTATACATATGCGAAATTTATCACGTAATTCATTGTCTAGTATTAAATAACGAACATCACATGTTTAAAATACATTTTTATTTCACATACGTATGTATTTTTACACATATGTATAACAGTTTTCTTGCCATATATGCAAAAAATAGTATTCACATTTAGAAAATTGGAACTTTTGTTTAAACAGCTCAACATAGCGGTCATAGTAAATTCTTTCCGACCATTAAGCATTCATTTCATAGGTCAGTGGCAACCGGTGACCTAGTATTCTAAAGCGTTCGCATTTATCGGTCACTGACACCCCTACTGTGTTCACAAGGGTTCGAGTTTTGGGCTCGGCAAATGTGAAAGCGTGAGAAATCTGCCAGTAGCTTCCCGTAGGTCCGTGGTTATAAACGGAGTTCTCCCGGGTTCTTCCTTGTCCAGATAAATTGGCCGTTATATGAAGTTGTAATAATGAATTCAACGCAAAAACAACACCAATCGTTTCATAGATCCCGATAGCCCAAAACACATATGAATCGAAGACTAATCACTATTAACCGATCCGGTGGCCTAGTGGTTAGAGCTTCCGCTTATGATGCGGGAGGTCGTTAGTTATATCCCCAGTCGAGTCATACCAAAGACTTACAAAAATGGTACTAAACAGCTGCCTCGTTTGACGCTCAGCATTAAAAGATTAGTGTTTGGACTGGTCAGCCTGATATCTGGATAATGTGACCGGGTGGGACATCATGCTACATGTCTGCGGCATGATGCCTCAGTGCTAGATATCGCTATAAACTGCCAAACTGCAGACATCGTAGCGATATGACTGAAAAATTATTAAAGCTATGTTAAAAATAATGATCACATCACATCGCTAATCACTATTTAGAAAAGGCGTCTGACAGCTTCGTTTTATGAGTTTCGTTGGAGAAGCCTTAGTTTTCCTCTTCCGCTAATGACTATGATCAAATTTCAGCAAAGCACCAGACATCTCTTTCACCCGTAAGGGTGGGTCTCATAAATTACACCTACTGTCTGCCTCACCTGTTTCTCAGCTGTATCTCACCTGAATTACGTGTAACACAACCTCAAGTAATACGTGGATAAATCACTTGAGACAATAACACTCAACTATAGCCATTGTGAACCTAAAGTCTTAGGCAGAATTATTTCTGAGATTTATATAAATTTTCTTGAAACTGAAAGAGCAAAATGGTCACTCATCACTGCAATAAAGACAAAACAGGTGAAAAGTCTTAAGACGTATGGTACCTGAAGCTTCATTAACCTTAAAATTAGCCTTGAACAGTAGTATCTTCAAAATTTATATACATTTTGTGCAATATGATAGAGCAAACTGACATACGATGTTTATGCTTCAGTGAGCTTAGAATTTGCAGCGTCAGTTCAGTGTACATCTGCTGCGATATCATACGTTCTAGTATTTTTTTGTGCATATGAATTTATTTTTAAAGAAGAACACACACACACACACACACACACACACACACACACACATATATATATATATATATATATATATATATATATATATATATATATATATATATATATATATATATATATATATATATAGAGAGAGAGAGAGAGAGAGAGAGAGAGAGAGAGAGAGAGAGAGATAGAGAGAGAGAGAGAGAGAGAGAGAGAGAGAGAGAGAGAGAGAGAGAGAGAGAGAGAGAGATGACCGATCTTGAATTATGGCGGAAAAAAATCACAGCCATACGTTTCTTTTGTATAGCATCAACAAGGACTCGATTTTTTTTAGGTGCGATACTCAAGTAAATTTTTTAAGACAGTTTGTCTCAGGACCTAGGCATATTCCGGTTACTCACTAGTTAGAGTCCCAAATTAATAGTCAGTTTATAGTTTTCAGTCTTGACCATACGTACACCCAATTTGAAAATTCCCCTCCATTTCTTATTGATAGCTTGAAATGGCCATTTGAATCAATGACAGCGGAGATCCGAGCGCGAGAGAGAGAGAGAGAGAGAGAGAGAGAGAGAGAGAGAGAGAGAGAGAGAGAGAGAGACTGCTTGTCATTGTGTGTCTGATGACAAAATGCATTACTATTATGTCCTATGGAGGAGGCACTTTTTCCTTTATTTACTAATGTGTGGTTAAAGACAGTGACTGATTCACCTAAGATAAGATTCAACGGCTGAGTAAGTGGCGTTGTAACCGCCCACCCCGAACAATTACCGCAACTTTGCGGAAGGATAGTAGGGGAATAAAAGAAATTTTTTAAAATGTAATCTGCATGGAGTCCCAAGAGTAAGTTTTGCTGTAGTGTATAGTGGCGCTGAATTTCTTGGTACGCGTCTGGGTCAAAACCATCCTTCCGTTCAATCACCCGTGGTAAGGTACAACTACTCTATCAACTATCTTATCACAAGGATTAGCGATATGGTATAAAAGCAACAAAAAAAATGATACACGCAGTATGGTGCTAAAGTCTTTGTAATTCTTGTAATAAAAAGAGGAAAACTGGCAGGTCAGAGAGCCCCTCCACACACACACACACACACACACACACACACACACACACACACACACACACACACACTATTCAATCATCGCGTTTAGATTTTGTGAGACATGATCGTAATGGTATGTCATAACACACCTTCCATATATTTATATTGAAAAAAGTATATATACGAAGGCACCAACACCATGGCTTCTGTTACTTTCCAATCGTTTAGAACGTATATTTGTTTTAACACACACACACACACACACACACACCACCACTACCACCACCACCACCACCACCCCAACAACAACAACAGGTATCCTAAGTTCTGTAATCTTTACCATATTTGGAAATAATTGCTACCATGGCGCACCCCGCCCCTAATTTATCCACTAAACATCTTTTGGCCTGCATGCTTAAAACTTAATAGCTGACCAATACATGTCTGACCGACCCACCCACCCCGGTAAAAAACAAATTCTGCAAGCTCAACTGTTTTATACTTATTTCAACATTAGCACCTGGCGATCATTACAAGAGGTAACTATGATCAGAATGTTTTCTCGTCGAAATTTAGCATCGAAACCAAACATTGAACAATCCAGCTTGTAGTAGTAGTAGTAGTAGTAGTAGTAGTAGTAGTAGTAGTAGTAGTAGTAGTAGTAGTAACGGTGGTCGTGGTGGTGGTCGTGGTAGTGGCAATATTAGTATTAGCAGTAACACGAGACAAATAGACAAAAGCGATTCTAAAATAGTTCGGATTAAATTATACTCGGATAATATAGAACCATTAAGTCATATTTGGTTGACAAAATATTGGAATTTAGCTACAATTTCAAAGTTATCATTATCGACACCCGTACCTCAATGACAATCACCGAGATGAATTTTTATTCAGATCGGCTTACCACCACTAAAATATAAATAAACCATGGTTAGTATGTGTAACCTGATAAACATTATTAAGTCAAACACAGAAATACGATGCGAATACAATGCCCTAGTCATGGAAGAGATTCTAATGTTTCTTTGATCATAGACATGTTACCAATAAGTAATCGTGGTTGCCTAATTAGGCTTCATGACTAGTCACGTCTCCTGGGGAAAGTGTTTAATAGATGGGTGGTTACGTTTCAGACTTCAGTTATTATGGCAGGCTTATATTAGTCTCAGGTTTTTATTCCTTGATTTATGTTTCATTCAAAGCAATTCGAAGCTAGCCCATGCATTGGACATGTAATTAAGCTCCACGAGTATTATTCCAAAAAGAATCCACAGAGTACCACAGACAAATCATATATATTGTTTCATACCCTTGCCATGTTGTGTTTTTTGCTTCCATCTCTTTTCTTGCCAAAAACTATTAGATAGAATGTTTGTAACCCACTCTGCACAGGGAGGCTCATCGATTTCACAAAATAAATGGAGTCTTGCTTGGAAAACAATGAAATCTTCGGCAAATGTTTGTTTTTCTGAAGATTCTACTCGAAGGAAGAATATTTCTTAGAGTTTAAAAAGAAAATAAGGGTAGTGCCGATGGAATGAATCGCAATATCCTGATATGGGGAAAATCATTAGAACTAACAAAGCGGAAGATTTTCCAAGCGTAGGATTGTGGGTGGAAGTTCTGTCAAACGTATACATTATTAAATGTATGGAGACCGGTAAATAGAGTGGTGGCACAAAAATAACGTATACGAATTCCTTGGTAAACACCACTTGGGACAACTCTTCTAAATCCTCTGGTTTGATGGATATAATTCATAACAATGATCAGTAACGTGTTACGCGTATAGATTTAATGATATAGTATAAATACGGGGTTGTGCAACATTCTAAGCCCCAGGTAAATGTAGCAGACAGGCGGAATTAATAGAGTAAAATAACCTACTACCCGAAAGGGTCTTTACGGTTAAAAGTTTATCGGTATTTTATGATCAGATGATGAAGTGCCCATATAAACCTAGTTCTTATTGGTTATAAACTTTCTGCTCTGACCTTCCACTTGACATTTACATAAAACTGGTGACTTCACATCCCAAAAGTAACCTGTGTAACTGGATAACATTTAAGTTTCTATTTCCAGTTTTTTTCATGGGTAATTTTGTTAGTCTGTTATTTTCGTCAAGAAAAATCTTGTCACGCAGTGGCAGATGTTAGTAAATCTACAGAGTAAAATGAATTTATTGTTTCTTACGCGCTTGTGTCTAAACGTTTTAGATTTGTGTAAGCAAGAACCAAAACGGCATCAAGGTATATTACAACAAACAAAAATATATATTTTTCTATTTGCTGGAACGTAAATTTAGTCACAGATATCCTCATGAACAATATTGTACCAGAAATTTAAAACAAACTATTTATCATCTAAATATATCAATGGCACGTTTCAACAGATGGAGAGAGAGAGAGAGAGAGAGAGAGAGAGAGAGAGAGAGAGAGAGAGAGAGAGAGAGAGAGAGAGAGAGAGAGAGAGAGAGAGAGAGAGAGAGAGAGATTATATTTTATCTGGATGTACTATTCTGCTCCCAACAAATATTATACTAATTCCTCCAAGACAAGGCAAGGGTATATTAATGACTGACAAAATATTCCTTAAATGCGTATGTTGTGATGGGTTTAACGCCACTTCTCAGCTCATATTAGATTATTCATGGCGGATAGTATATCTGACTGAAGTAGGTCACGGGAAAATCCATTGACCCACCGGGTGCAACTTGCAAGCTTTCTCATATACCCACATTGGTTGAGTCCGAGTATCAAACCCAGGCATACAGATGTGATAGCCACTATGGCCGCAATGTCGGCGAACTTGTATATATAAGGTTATCGCTCCTCCAGTGGAATCGATGGTCATGTTTGCATGGGATTTTCACCGAAAGACTTCGTAAGAGCTCTGGTGTGTCTAAATGAAAATAGTGCTAGTCTTACATCTAATAAGATCACTAAGACAGCCATCCTAAAAATTTGTTATGACTTCTCCTCCTGAAAGGATGGACATATCGACTCATGGTTTCACTAAAATACATCTTTTGATATCTAGTTGGTCCAAAATACATCTAATATAGCCGCCACGGCGATTGTCTCGAAAATGATATTCTCGCAGAAGAATATCAGATATGGTTTCACTCGTAG